GAAGCAAGGTTGTAACTGAGGATTAATATAAAAGAAAGGTATTTTCCCAATAGAATGATTTCGGAACTATACAACCTAGAATAAGATGAAGTTGGTGATAAATGTAATGAGATCAATATTTTAAAAAGTTCTATAGGAGACAAGAGGACCAAAGAAGGAATAAGACTAATGTTCATCATGGGTGGGAAAATGATAAGAGTAAAAAAGTTAAACTAGTCATGGCTTATTTTGCTTCTATTTTCTATTCCTAGAAGAGTGATTTTTGGACTGGGCAGGAAAGAATAAAAATGGTTAGCAGGAGTATAAATCCAAGATATAGAAGGAGATAGCAAGATAACATATAGTTCAAGTAATAAGCCTGTAAGAATTAGCAGATGTGATTCCTTGGCCACTGTCAGTGGTCTTTGAGAGATCTTTGAAAACAAGAATTGTGCCATGGGACTTGAGAAAACCAAATGGTATTCAAATTTTCAAAAAATGAAAGAAGATAGGATCTGTAAAGAATAGGTCAGTGAGCATGACTTATATTTCTGGAAAACAAAAAAACAAAGAAAAAGAAAAACCCACCAAAACATTGTAGAACACATTATTAAAAGAATAGTTTGTAACAGCAAAGAAAGGGTAGCAGTGGTCACTAAAATCAATACGGTTTCATTAAGAACAAGTCATACTAGTCTAACTTAATTTTAGTGGTGTGCTAAAGCCAGTTCAAACCAGTTTGGGAGAGCCAGTTGTTAAATTTCCAGTGTGAGCATTTGTACTCTGGAAATAAGGGCTTGATTTATTATTTTTCTAATTGACTCGAGTCTTAAGAAAGTAATGGAGAAAATGATAATAAAGCAAGCTAAGCTTAAAAATGTATTATGTGTACATTTCCCCCTAAAGGGCTGGTTGTTAAACATTTACACTGCAACCTTGCCTAATTTCCTTTTTTGATAGTTTTACCGAGCTAGTAGATCAGGCACTTTAGGTATGAGACAGACATGGTATCCTCAGTTTTAGTAAAACATTTAATAAAGTCTTTTATGCTTGACAAAATGGAGAGATATGGGAGCTAGGTAATAATGCATCTGAAATTGTTTGACTAGACTCAAAGAACAGTCATTAATGAGCTGATGACAGCTTGGATGGTGAACTCTAGTGCAAGGCTTTAGGAGAATCTGTTCTTTACCCTGAATTACTCAGTATTTTTACCAATGACTTGGAAGAAATCATAGCAGTCATTCTTGTCAGTTTTGCTGGGACAAAGAGCTACAATATTGACAGAATCTAGGTTTTTAAAAAAAATCTCAACAGCTCAGAATAATGAATTACATTGAAAAAAGATGAAATTGTATGTAGGTTCCACAAATCACTTTAACAATCACAGGCAGAGGGGATAATGGTTAGAAAATGATTGCTGCAAAAATGATCTGGGGTGTCTTCAATGAACTTCCTGTTCAATATAAGTCAACAGTGTGACGTGGAAACTGAAAAAGCTAATGCTATTGTAGACAGCATTAAGAGAAACATATGGTCCAGAATGAGGTAGTATGTAGTTTGACTGAACTCTGCCTTGATCAGATCACATGAGGAGTAACATGTTCAGTTCTGGCAACAACATTTTAAGAAGGATATTGACAAGCTGGAAGAGGACCAGAGAACAACCAAGATGGGAAGAGGAGGAGATTATGCCATATGAGAATCAACAGAGAAGCAACTTGTAACACTAGGTCCAGAGATGAAAAGATTTACAGGAGCCATGATAACAGTCTCAAGTATCTGAAGGGTTGGATGATCCATTTGTTGAGGTCAGAAATAGGTCCTGTCCAACTCCTAGATTCTGTGATTTACATGATGCAGTATGGCATAATGGACCAAGTAATGACAAGCCTGGAGTCAGGAATACTGGCGATCAAATCCCACCTTAAACATTAGTTGTGTGATCCTGGGCAAGGCATTTAAACTCTTTTGGTTTCAGTTCCTTATCTATAAAAAGTAGAGGCTAGACTAGAGAACCTCTAAGAACCACTTGGCTCTAAATCTATGACCCTGTGATACAAAATCCTAGTTCTTATATCATTTCACCTTTGATTTCTGCGGGGGGAGGGGAAGGCAGGCAGAGGCAGTAGGGTTCTAATCTGTGATTCCTTTTGTTTACAGAACTCCTGGTGAGAAAACTCTCAACCAATGCAGATCAGCAACTGCTATGCACTGAAGAATTTTAGAGAGTTGAGTCACTGAGAGGTTAAGCAATTCATCTAGGGTCATATGGTTGAGGATGGGTTCAGGTCTTCTTGATTCATTATCCATTGTACCATTTTTCTTCTCTTCTTGATTATTTCGCACATTTTAGTAACTTTGCTTTTAGTAGAAGGAGCTAAAACAAAGAGCTAAGGTGCTAAAGTTTCCTTCTTATTCTTGTTTTTAGTTCATCCCTTTCTTTTGATGAATAGCTATTTCTTTAATGCCCATCAAGTTGGATTTGCTTCTCCAATAGCTAATTAATAATAGGCACAGAGAGAACTTAGTCAAGTTCTAACAAATGATAATGGGAAGTGGCAAAATTACAGCTGATTAGATGTGGTATGTGAGAGAAAAACACAATTATGCAAATACCAAAACTCAAAGCTGTTTAGCAGAGTTAGGAAAAAAAAAATAGTTGGGCTATGCAGCCTGGACTGATTGGTGGATGTCAGGGGCAGTATATTTTTCATTTCATAACCTCATTTGCCGCTAGCTCTCATCAGCAAGTCACTAGAGATAACTTCAGTTTCTCTGGGATAAGTAACAGTTTCAAGCTCCACAATCAAGTCTATTGAACATCAAAAAAAGGTCGGGACTATGTTTAGCTTATAAATCCTCAGAAGCTTCACTGTATTCATAGGCAAGGTAAGAGAAGAAAATCTAGCTTTGTAACCATTCCTTTTTTTTTTCTTGCCAATTACAAAGGTAGGAGACTGGTATTGTATTCCCCATATATGCTCCCACACATCTACACATAGTCTAATTTAATATATGTAATGTAGTACAACATAATAAGGCAGTGATAGCACGATGGAAAGAAAACTGGATTTGAAGTCAGAAGACCAGCATTTCAAATCTTTCCTTTGTAGCGTAGTACTTGTAGGACCTGAGTAAGCCATTTTGTTTCCCTGGGCCTCAGTTTCCTCATCTGTAAAAATGAGAAGGTTAGACTAGATGGACTCTGATGTCCCTTTCAGTTCTAGATCTATGATTCTCTAATCATATAACAGTATATGTATACATATGTGTGCATGTGTATGTATAAGTCTGTATATGTCTGTGTGTGTATGTATGTATGTATATGTGTATACACACATGCACACATATGTATATACACATACAAACAAGTAATGATTCCAGTGAACAGCCATGGAAACACAGGGGTAGGGAACCTGCAGTCTCAAGGCCACATGTGTCCCTCTAGGTCCTCAGTTGCAGCCTTTTGACTGAATCCAAACTTCACAGAACAAATCTCCTTAAAAGTATTTGCTCTGCAAAACTTGGACTCAGTCAAAAGGTGGCACCCAAGAACCTAGAAGGCCCCACGTGGCCTTGAGGCTGCAGGTTCCCTACCCCTGAGGGCATAATAAGGGGGTAGTGGAATAAAAACTGACTCTTTGAATTGGGGTCACCAATTCAAATTTAGCCCATTTGAGGGTGACAGTAAGTTGTTTCTATCTGAGGACACATGAATTATAGATGAATTGAGAATTAATTGAGTTAGTGTTGCCTTTAGTTGAAATTGCCTTTAGTTGATTTTCCTTTAACTGCACCTACATCACTACTCAGTAGGATTTAAACACCAAATAATTGGAAGAATCAACTTTCTCTTTTCTCTAGATATAACATGCCCAGAAACAAGGGGGAGCGAATTCACAGAATGGAAGAGCTCCCCCCACCCCCATTCCCTGTGTTCCCTGATTAGTCCCTTTAAGAGTTATCTCAGGAATCTAAGCTCCAAATCTGTTAGTCCTTCAGCTTCTAAACACCCCATATCTAATTAAGATTTAAAAAACAAAACCCCCAAATGTTTATCTTTTACAATGGAATAAATATTTTAGTCTTACGGACTCTGGACTGACTCTCAAAGTTTTGGAGATAGAAGGAATCTTTTTCTTTTTTTTTAATCTGTGGTTCTAGCCTAGCACAGTGTCTGGCACAAAGTAGGCACTTAAATTACTGATTTTAGAGGGTTTTTTGTCCAACTTTCTTATTTTTTAGCTAAAGAAAAATGAAGTTCAGGAGAAGGGGAATAATTTGCCCAAGATCATACAACTAGTTAGTGACAGGGGAGCTGATCTGACCTGGCATATCCCAAATAACACAGTGGTGTGGGTTATGTGTGTTTTTAAAATAATTACTGCTATGTTCAAGAGGCAAGTTTAGTCTTTAAACCTTACAAATGATATTTCTAAGCTATATGCATGTTATATAAAAATATATATGTATATATTCACACACATACAGTATACTGAAATTCAATAAGGAGTCTTCAAGTTTACTTTGAATATTTAAAATATAATTTTGTTAAAAAACAAACAAGAAGTCTTTTCAGGGGCAAGCCACTGATCTATCTAAATTGATTTACCAAAATGATCCAATCCTTCAACAGCATTTTTACATTAAAATTCAGTATATTTAGGTAAAACAGTCATGGTTCAGAATTCACATAACTTGGCAATTTGTTTCCCATACGAAAGAGTGGGCCTTTTAGAGTTTACATTAGCAAAACTTCTTCCATATAGTAGTTAACATAAACCAAAGATCCTGATATATTTGTAGCTTTTTACTTAAAAGAGGAAACAGAAGAATTTTCATTGTACTTCAAAATTAAAAACTCAAAACATTTTAGAAGACTAACATTATTACATCAGTTTCAGGCAAAAGGACTGTGGTGCTCAGTTTAGGAAATACTTTGCAAGGGTGGTGCTTATAAAATGCCCAGGGGTCCTGTAATTGATCAATTTCTCCCGGAGGTTTTCTCTCCCATACTGTATTGGCTGGACAGCAGTAGGCTATGATTTTCCTGTTGCCTTGTGAGTGACCCCCCTACAGGAAGATAACGGAGAAGCCAAGAGGGAGGAGCAGTTAAGCTACACATGTCTGGCTGCTCTTATCAACTTATCATATAAGGAAAGGAAAGTGATTGATTCAGATACCGACACTGCAGAATTTGCTCCAAAGAGAAACAGAAGAAACACCAAAGCTTACTTGTAAAGCTAAGCCAGAACACACAATTGGGGTAGGACTGTTCTTCCTGCTGGCATCTCACCGTTTACTGGACGACTGGAAAGAAGGCAGCATTTTGTTTTGTTTTGCTTTTAAATTAAATCTGCTAGTAGAAAAGGTGGGTGGGGGCAGGAACCCATTGACTGTCAAGAGTGTACTTTATACATGACAGCATAGCACAGCATTTCAGAGGACAAATGAATGATCTGGACTCTTAAGTGCACTGAAGTTTGCTAAGTTGGCTGCATTCTCTCTGAACAAAAGTATGTGGCTGATTGTTTTCTTTACTTTGAGCTATGATCTTGTCTTGGCATCAGCCTACAACAACTTTCGGAAAAGCCTGGACACCATAGGGAAGAAGCAGTATCAGGTTCAGCATGGATCATGCAGTTACACCTTCCTATTGCCAGAGATGGACAATTGCCGCTCTACTTCTAGCTCCTATGTGTCTAACGCAGTGCAGAGGGATGCCCCGTTGGATTATGATGACTCTGTGCAGAGACTGCAAGTACTTGAAAACATCATGGAAAATAACACTCAGTGGCTCATGAAGGTAGGAAAATTTCATTTATATGGTTGCATGAAAAACTGAGGTTCTGTTTTCACTTGCTGCTCTAATAAACAAAGCAAGCTTTACCAAAGATAGTTCTTTGAACTACCACTTATTTTCTATATCTCATTGCATAATCTCATCTAGGCTTGCATGAAAAGGATATCACAATGAAAAATGAGCAAATTTACCGTGTGTGTGTGTGTGTGTGTGTGTGTGTGTGTGTGTGTGTGTGTGTGTGTGTGATGGCGTAAGGGGGAGGGAGAGTAAGTTTACTTCTCTGCAAAACAACTAGGCTGTTTTGTTTGTACAAGTAATTTAAACTTAGTAACACCAATTACTAACATAACTGGCTGCAGCCATGTGAGGGAAGTGGTAAGCAGCACAACAGCGCCAGGACAAGGAAAAAACGTGCTAATCATGATAATTACTGATAAATAGCGGATGGTGGCAATGTTACCTTCTGCAGTAAGTGCTTTACCAATTTCCTGAATTTATTTACTGAAACCAATTATAGCTTTTTGTAAAATGAGAGGAAATTAACTTAAATAGACCTTATGTTTTTCAGAAACTTAGGGTTTTAGTTAATGGGTTTGTCATTTGTAAACCGTTTGTTCTGAGTTTTTGCTAAGTGTTCTTTCTAAAGGGATTCAGTATTGCCACTTCTCTTAGAAGCCAGTAACCTGGTTTAAAAATATATCCACATGTGATTGCTGTTAGTTTTAGCAAGGATGAATTTATGCCATGTCAAGATCTGCTGCCTTTTACTCACTATTCTTGTTCTTATTCTCACTCTTTCCATTGTACCACAAACTCTGTAAGAAATGTATAAATTCTGAAAGTTAAGTTGTTCTTCAAGAAGCAACTATTTCCTTATGCAAATTTTATCTCACAAATGAGAAAACCAAAACTTCTAAAGTTCCTTTTTACTGGGAAAAAGAAAAAATGATGCATTTGTTATAGCACTCTTAATAAAATAATAATTATCTATGTCTGGTGGAAATGATTACTGTTAAAATTTGTAGAGACGTATTTATAATTATACAAATGACTGAGGTAACTGTCAGTTCTCTACCAAAGTTTCACCCAGGAAAACATCACAAAGTATTTTCTCCATCTAGAGCAAAAAATCTTTAATTTCCTTTTCAGCTATCTATTAGCAGCATATCACATCTTAATCTCATAACAGATCTCTGCCTGGCTTTTTATCCACTGCTGTGAATCCACTTAAAACAAGGGAAACCACTGAAAAGCACTGATGGTAGAAGCCAATCATTACATGAATAAATCCCCTTACCATTATTCCTCAATTGAACTGGTTCTTGGTTCAAACAGCATTTAACTAATTCAAAACTTCTAAGAAATAATGGCAATAATACCTTATTCAAACTTTAAAAAAACTCCCACAATGATATCTGGAAAAGACCCACATCTACTGTGTATATTCTCTGCTAAAGGTTTATTCTTTCTTATCTTTAAAACCCTTTACCCACCATTTATGTACAAATAGCTCAGCTAAGTTTGGGAGGTATTCAGCAATACAAGCTCACATATTTGAAAGTACTAAATATCTACCTGACACTAACTTCCTATTTCCTTCTTTCCATTGTTATGTTCACACTTAATAATCTGCTCATTTTAACTGTGACATGGTTAAAGGCCAATGCTAACAGAACACCTCAGTGAGGGATGAAAGAAATAGAGTAGTAAACACTCCCATCTATCCAGCTAGTAAGTCATTTCCTAAATAAATAGTCAGGGGATATAAAAGAATGTTTTACCAAATACAAAACAGTTTAATTGTATTTGCTATAATTAAAGCCACCTTCAGGTAAACTTGAAATCTAATAATTCTTTCACAGTCAAATTGCCCCCTTTTCCTGAAAGATTGAAAATGTTTAAATGAAGGAAAAAGTTAAGCAACCCTATTCCAGGAGTTGCTTAACCTCGAACCCATTCTAGGTTCCAGAAATCAGAGTTTATGGGGCAACCAGTCAAAATACATCTTTACTCACAAATATAATTATCAGATATTTGAACAGTAATACAATAGTGCTCCAGAATGCAGCCTTTAGATATCCAGCTAAAATATCACCTAGAGTGACTTAATATTGACTTTTCATCTGCTTAACACCTGCCCCGATCAACCCTATCTCATAAGACCTAGAAAGTGCACCTGAAAAATTCACTGGTATTGTTATTTACACCTGGATGGCAAATAGAAGCAAAGGAACAAATAAAAAACCATGCAATGTGTATGTGGAGCCTTTCCTAGCTGTGTGTTCTTTCTCTGGGTTCTGGCACCTATGATAATAAAAACTACTTTGCTTAAAAATGAAAAAAGTAAATGGAATAGAGTACCAGATAAGCCCCATGACCATGTGGTCCATAAAATACTGAAATTTCTTTTGACAGATTTTCATACCTGGGGTGAGAGAAAAGGGTTCCTTACATTTATATTTCTTATAGAAATCCACTCCTTCCATACACCCTGCCCCAGCCCTCCAAAAATAAAGTTTTAAAAACTATCAGAAAGTCAAACAGACTCTGCATCTGATTAATTTTTCCAAGGCGAAAGAATATCATTTCAAGCACCTAAGTGATTAGCATCTTGTTAAGGAGTTTAGTTCAAGGAAACTTTTTTGCATATTACAAAACAATCCCTAAGCTATCTTCTTAATTTATCAGTCAAAGGAATCATACTTCTGAAAGAGCACTGAGGTATGAACTAAGGTACATACATGGAGTGACATGGGAGAAATGTTCTATATCTGCTTAGTGAAGAGACAATGGGGAAAAAAGTAACTTCACTTACTACACAAAATATCATGTGGAAATTTGTTAAAATTTAAAGAAAAGATAATGATAATCTCTCTTGCTAATTCTGTTACTCTACAGACAGTTCCTCATATCATTTAAAACACTTTACAAAGCCACTTTTCTAAAACTTGAACAAACACTGTGCTAATACTTGTATCTTTTTAAATTGGGGCTGGGAGGGAATGGGAAACAAACACAAAATATAGAAGAGCTAAGCCATTCCTTAAGACTGTAGGATGTTTCTCATGCTACAAAAATTTGCCTGGATGACTACCTTTTCAAACAGATATTAAAAAAACAACAATAACAATGTCTGCAAATTAATTAATCTTAATTTTTCATTGTAGTTACTTAAATATAATTATTTTCCATCCCCCTAGAAGAGACTATGGATTATACAAAATTGTACTGACAAAATAGCTTTCTTTATGAAGTAATGGACACTCAATATACTGTGCATAGCTTTTTTTACACAGCTATTTAATACCAATGGAAATACTCTGACCATAGTAGCCATGCAATTTAAAAAAAAAATCCAACAATTCAGAAGCAAAATGATGGTTTTAAAAGATGAGAGTTGAATTTAGGGAGGTGAGAGATAAATCTTTTCTCCCTGAGTTTTGTAGAAAACTTTGGCCCAGATATGAACTTTATTTTTTAACAAATACAGTTGGAAACCAATGCTTAGCCATATATCCAGAAAAACAAAACTTGGTTTTCTTTCAGATACTCCTAGCCAAGCTATGTTGGTCTGTTTGGTTTAGGTTTCTGCCATTGGCCTTGGTTAATACCTAGTGGTTCATTAAAAAAAAAAAGAAAAAAATACCATAATACAACTCATTGCTATACACATAGAAAGACAATTCTTTCTGAGATTCCACAGGCTGTACTCTGAAGCATGAAATTAATTATACTCAGTATTCAAAAGAAGTGTTGTGCATTCCTATAAACAAATTAAAGTCATTACAAATTTGAGAAGCCTTTAAATTACAGGAATATCAGTTTTTTTTCCCTAGGTAAGAACAATATTATGATTAAAGTTTAGGTTTTTGTGTTTTTTTTAAGTTATCAGAAATCGCATAGGAACAAGTACCATGTCTTCTTAATTTGTGCTTTTCACACAGAACGCTTAACTCTTTGGGCTGCCAGATACCTCATATTTGTGTGTGTTCGGGATCATGGGATTAAACAATATTTCTTTGCCTTGAGCTGCTTCACTCTACCATAAAGAATAACTGCCTGAACCCGAGCTAAGAAACAGGCATGTGTGCATAGTTCGCATATAGGACAAACACTTCACGTCCCATACAATCTTTCTATTGAAATCTGTTGTCCACAATTATGAATAGGTTATCTTGTAACAGTTTGTGTGTTGGCTCACTAGACACAGAAAAAATACTGTTTTCCCAGAGATGATATTATAATGGTAGATTCTTAGGCTAACCCCATACAGCCTAGTTGACTTGTAACATGGATGAAAAGATGCACATTAAAAATGAAAAATAATACTGCTTCAATAATAATAAAGTAAATAGGTAGAAAAAATACTGGCTCTAGTCAGGTGACCTGGATTTAAACACCTTTACTGATGTTTGCTATTTGCATGATCTTGGCCCAGTTACCTCACCTCACTAGGCCTCAGTTTCCTGACCCACGAAATGCAAGCCTGGACTAGATGACCACTGAAGTGCCTTTCTACTCTAGATTTATGACACTTTGAACAAATTCAAATAGGAAATAATGTTTTCCTTTTTCCACCAATACAGAAAGACTTCAAATATATTCTTGCCCATCAGGTACTTTCCAGGATCTGACCTAAATACACAGAGACTCAGCACAAGTAGGCTGACCATTAAATGATAACTTTTTTGGCCATGGTAACTCATAAAACAAAGAAAAATACAAAATGGCTTTTTGCCCTGTGCTACTTCCTTGTACCTCTGCAGTACTAGTGGTAGGGGGTTCTAAGAATCACTCATATTTTTAGATTGTGTATAAACATCAGCTTGGGGCAGTGAGGTAGCACGGTGGATAGAGTGCTGGGCCTGGAGTTAGGAAGATTCATCATCTTCCTGATTTCAAATCTGGCATCAGACATTTACTAGCCATATGACCTGGGCAAGTCATTGAACCCTGTTTGCCTCAGTTTCCTCATCTGTCAAATGGGCTAGAGAAGGAAATGG